ACGCGGGCTCCGGGCGGGGGGCGCGGGCTCCGGGACGCGCGGGCCCCCGGCTGCTGTGGTTACCTGGCCAGCGTGGTTTTCCCCGAGCCCGGGAGGCCTCGCAGCAGGTAGAGGTGTTTCCTGAAGCTGTGGCGGCGCGGAGGTGTCCCGCGCGGGGGCGGCGGCCGCGGCTGCTGCCGCTGCTGGAGGCTGAGCCTCCCAAAGGATTCAAGAAAACTGTCCTCCATGGGGGGGAGGGGGCCGGCTGCCGGGGCCCCGCGTTCCCGTCCCTGAAGTCACGGTCTTGGCCGAAGCGGTTGTTTTTGTGGCTCTCCGGCCATGTGATAGATGGGGGGCGGCGCTCGCAGCCCAGCCCCTCCTCCCACCCGCCGGAACGGCGCGGCGGGGCAGGGGGGCGTCGCTACCTGGAAAGCCGGGGCCGCTGGGAGACGGACAGCCGCGCGCCCCCCGGCCCCCCGTCCCCGCTGCCTCGGGTGCCCTCCGCCCGGGAGAGGGGGCGCCCCCCGGGGACCGCGGAGCCTTGTCCCCGCCGCGCAGATGCGCACCCTCCAGCCGCCCTCCCTCCCGCCTGGCCTGGACCTTGGAAGTCAAACAATCGTAGTTAACGATTAACGAACGTGAAAGCATGTTAGACAGTAAGAGTAAAGGCGTTGTCTTCTCTCATTTGCGACCACCGACACTGGCTGGTGCCCCGAGGGCTACCCCCACCCTATCGGGGCCTGCAGCTTTTCTTTTTCTCTGCCTTTATCTGCCTGCCAAAATATTCTTGGAAAACTTTGTTTCCTCTACATAACTTTTAAATCTTTCCTTCCTCAGAAAAAGCGCCTCTCAAAGCTCACGTTGGTTTATGAACAGTAGCTCCCGCCCCGGTAGCGGCTAGGCGGGCGGGCCCCTGAGATGCGGCCCTCTCTGGGAATATCTCAGCCCTCAGCGAAAGTAGCAGAGGCCTCCGAGACCAATGAGAGAAGTTTCCAGAACTGAATTCTAAGTTCCAGGAACCGGTGAACGCCCACGGTTGATCACCCAAGTGACTCCTATATTTCACAGGGTGCGACAGAGTGATGTGTTCTGAACCTAAACTCAAGATGCATGGGTTGAAAGAGATGAGATTCGAACTTGACACCACGCTGAAAAATCCAGGGGTGTGGGGTTTTGGCTGTAACCATTAGTGTAAAGTAGATACATTTTGTTTCTGGCAGCTGAGGTATGAACATTATGAGGAGGCATTGTGAAGAAAAGTACCTTCCTTCTAAAACAAAATCCAGAGATTTTTCAAAAAGCTTGGGAGGGGCTCTTCCAGTAGGAAGGGGCTCTGTGCTGAGAATCTCAACTTTCCTAGGATTTCCCCCTTGACACTGTGTGTGTGCGTGTGTGTGTGCGCGCGCGCGTGGGTGTGTGCGCATGCTTGAGTGTGTGTGTGTCTGTGTGAGAGCCAGCCACTCTCCCTTGAGAACCCCAGCCCCAGCATGGAGGACGGGTACTTTCTGGATTCTTAGCTCTGCTGAGAAACACTGGCATTTCAAAAGGCTTCTCTAAATTTTAGGGGGAAACCATAAGGAACAGAGAATATATGTGAATCATGAAAATAATGAAGCTTATATAATGTATGTACCCTGTCCTGCTTGTGACAGGACTGCTTATGCCCAGCTTCAAACACTGGGGCCTCTTTGTCCTTCTAGGCCTGCGCTGTGGGATACAGGAGCCACTCGCCACATGTGGCCACGGAGCACTTGAACTGTGGCTAGTGCCACCCCTGAGATGGAAAACACAAACTGGGTGAAAAACTGCCCCTCCCGCCATGAAACCAGAACAATGGGATGGTACCCGGCTACCATTACTATAGAAGAATCTTGATCAAAAGGGATAAAATGCAGAACAGAATTTCAAATTGTCATGGAATCCAGACTTTCTGGAGCCATGGAGGCTGGATGAACCCCCAAAACTACTGCCTGGAGACTAAACTTTTAACCAAAAACATCCCCTTAAGTCTTCTTAAAACCAAACACTAATTTAGCTTAATTAGTAAAGAATGTCTGCCTTGAGCATTATGCTTTTTTAAGATCCACCTATATTAGAAAGATTAGATAGGAAACTTAGGGGGCAGTGAGTTTATGTTAATGGGGTTAAGAACTCAGAAAAAGAGGGTGAGAATGGTTGCCCAACTCCAGCAGGGCTCCTTCATGTACTTATCAGGAAGTCATAAATGCCGCTATTGAAGCCCCCTAAGACAGCAAGCGTTTGACATTCCGAAGCTCCCCTCCCCCTCCTCAGGTGTCTGCGTAGCCCCAATACTGGTTAGATTTGCCCTGACATGATCCCGCCCCAGACCAAAGGCAAGTCCAGTTTCACAAGGGCTAGGAGCCTGCAAAGAAGCTCTGGTGGTGCAATGGTTAAGTGCTCAGCTGCTGTCTAAAAAGTCTGTGGTTTGAGCCCACCAGCCGCTCCACGGGAGAAAGACCTGGCGATCTGCTCCCATAAAGATTAAAAAAAAAAAAAAACCCGTTGCCATCCAGTCGACTCCGACTCATAGCGACCCTACAGGACAGAGTAGAACTGGCTCCTAGGGTTTCCAAGGAATGGCTAGGTGGATACGAACTGCCTACCTTTTAGTTAGCAGCCAAGCTCTTAACCACTGCGCTACCAGGGCTCGAAGGCCTAGAAAACCCTTTGGGACAGTTCGCCTCTGTCCTGAAGGGTCCTTTAGGGTCTATGAGTCGGGATCGACTCACGGCAGCAGGTAAGAGCCAGCGAGAACTCGGGGAGTTCAGCCAAACACCGCAGACCACGCCCTCTGCCGGGAAGCCTTCACAGGGCAGCAGGAAGAGAAACTGAAAAGTGCCAGAAGCTAGCGTGAGGGAAATACTGAATTGTTTTCAATAAGCAATACGTTCCCGATACAGATGGCAGACGCCCACCCCCTCCGCGAAGCCCCACGAAAATGTAAAGGGCTGCTTTTGGAGGCGGGGTGCGTTTTATTGTTATTTTTGTTTTCAACATAAGCTGTAAGAGACTGAGAAAATCCCTGCTACAACATTTTGGAAACTGGAGAGCGAAATTTTAGCCAAACCAATTTCAAAAAAAACACCTCATTGCCGTCGAGTCCACCCAGACTTACAGCAACCCTGCAGGACATTGTAGAACTGCCCCATCAGGTTCCCAAGAAGCAGCTGGTGGATCTGAACTGCCAACCTTCTGGTTAGCAGACATAGCTCTTAACCACTGCGCCACGAGGGTTTCCTGGGCTAGGTGGTTCTCTCAAAATAGCCTGAATTACAGGAAGCCAGAAGGCCACTCGGTCTACCCAGGGTGACCCCCTAACAGTCCCAGGAAGATCTGGGCTGTGGAGGCGGGGCTCCGTTATGGATTGCTCTGCATCCTCCCAAAACATATGTTGAAATTCTAACCCCCTACCTATGCATGTGACCCTGTTTGGAAATAGGGGTTCTTCTGTTATGCTAAGGGGGCATAGTAGGGTGGATCCCTCTGAGTGGTGACTTAAAGAGGAACCAGGAAAGAAGAGACACACTCGGGGAAGAGACCGAGGGAGGGGCCCTCTACAAGCCCCGGAAGGCCTGGGCCACTGACCAGGAGGGACGTCCCCCGGAGCCGAGGCCCTGATCTGGACTGCCAGCCTCCGAAACCGCGAGACAGTAAGGTCTTGTTCTTTACAGCCCCGAACGTGTAGGGTCTTTTATTAAGGCAGCTCCAGGAACCCAAGCCAGGCTCCAAAAGGAAGAGCAGTTGGAAGTCTGTTTAAAAACCAGTTTAACGCCAGGCAGCTGCCTGCGGCCCTAGAGAAGCCTGGAGGTTCATTCCTTGCCAGGAGATAACCCAGAGGGTCTGGGAGGAGTGCTGTGAGGTCAGACAGGCAGAACTCCCTCACCGAAAACAGCAGGAGGGAAGAAGGGGCGACGTGCTGAACACTGAGTCAGCAATCACTCCTTTGCTCAGCATTTTCAAATATGGATTTTCATATTTTAAATGTGTTAACTACAACTACCGAAAACAATACAAAAATAACAGTTACCTGCTATGCCTACGGAAACCCTGCTGGCCTAGTGGTTAAGCGCTAGGCTGCTAACCAAAAGGTCAGCAGTTTGAATCCATCAGCCACTCCTTGGAAACCCTATGGGGCAGTTCTACTCTGTCCTATAGGGTCGCTATGGGTCGGAATTGACTCGACAGCAATGGGTTTGGTTTTTGGTTTTGTTATGGAGCCCTGCTGGCACAGTGGTTAAGAGCTTGGCTGCTAACCAAAAGGTCAGCAGTTTGAATCCACCAGCTGCTCCTTGGAAACCCTATGGGGCAGTTCTACCCTGTCCTACAGGGTCGCTATGAGTCGACTATGAGTTGGAATCGACTCGACAGCAACGTGTTTGGTTTCGGTATTATGCCTATAGTGTGGTGCAGGTCCACGATTCCTTACCAAAATCCTTGAGGCTAGATTGTTCAGAATTCAGAAAGTGTATGTTTGTTTGTTTTAAGAAGGTCTGACTCATGGCAACCCCATGTGTGCAGAGTAGAACTTCTCCATAGGGTTTTCAAGGCTGTGACCTTTCAGATTGCCAGGCCTTTCTTCCAAGGTGCCTCTGGGTGGGTTCGAACTGCCAACCTTTTAGCTAGTAGTCGAGCGCTTCACCGTTTGCATCACCCACGGACTCCTTTTTAAGAAGATAGCCCAGCACCTATAAATTACCTTACATTTTGAGTGGGGCCTGGGACAGCCCCCATGATTAAACACATGAATTTTCATGCAGAAAATGTATGACCCGTCACATTAAGTGGGGCAAATAAGGAGTTAAAATTAACCTCCTGTCACTTTGGGTCAGGTTTTGCTGCCAAATTAATTTTAATGTTGACTTTATAATAATAATAACAAAGCCACTTTTGGTATTTAGATTTTTTTGCATTTCAGAAATCCAGAAATGGGATCATGGATCTATGCTTGGATTTAGGGCCTACCCTTCGAATCTCAGTGTAAATTTTTTTTTTTAAATAATATTTTATTGTGTTTTTGGTTAAGGTTTACACAGCAGTTTAGGTTCCCGTCCAACAATTCCTACACAAGTTGTTCAGTGACATTGGTTACAGTCTTCACAACGCGTGGACATGCTCATGATTTCTCTTCCGGTGGTTCTGTTTCCTTTAATCTAGTCTCCCTGCCGCCTGACATTCTCATCTGTGTTTTAATGTAATTGCTGGCTGTTTGGTCTCATATAGATGATTTTTTTTAAAGAAGCGCCATACTCACAGGTGATATTCTTTATCTTGTGAGCCGATCCGTTATTTCAATAAAAGCTGACCTCGGGCTAGTTTCTGGTTCAAGGCTTAATGAGAATCTCAGGGCAACAGTTTCAGGGAGTCCTCTAGTCTCAGCTGGTCCAGTTGGTCTGGTTTGATGTCATTTTTAAAATAAGTTTCTCAAGTGTTCTCTGACTTATTTTCTTCTATAAAACATACAAAAGTTATGGCAAACATTTTGAAAACCAGAAAATGATCAAATGGTTACCTTTTCCGCTATTTTTTTTTCTTTTATTATTATTCAGACAACCAATCAAGATTGGGGGGACATATGATCAGCCCCGTTTCGTTACCCGACAGGCACGACCCTGGAGGTGGCCCTCGGGGCAGCAGTGGGCGTGCCAGCTCCCGGGGGTTTACAGCACTGACTTTTTCTGATGATCGGGATCCTCCACAGCTCCGTGAAGACGGGAGGCGGCAGCTACAAACAAGCACAAGTCCAGACCACACGGAAACACGAGTGGGCTTTGTTTTCAGCTTCCCAGCCTTAGTTTCCCTCTCCACGCCCTGCCCTGGCACCTAGGGCCCCCACGGGGTCCCCACAGCCCACTCAGCCTAGTCCCCCTTATTCCAGGGCCCACCCACAGAGCTTTACCAACCCCCTGCGGCCCTGCCCCTAAACCAGGAGTAAAGCTGTTCATGTCAGAAGAGGTTAGTACATAATTCACGGAAATGTGTTAACACATTCCTCTCTTAGAAAACATAATTTATGTTTTGCCAGGGGCATTTCAAAGACAATGCTTTCACCCAAGGAGGCGTTGTTGTTAGGTGCCAACTCTCAGTGACCCTACCTGACACTCGGCAGAACTGCCCCCTAGGGTTCCCAGGCTGTAATCTTTGTGGGAGCTTTCTCCCATGGAGCTGCTGGGGTTCACAAGGGGTTGCCAGGAGTTGAAAATCTACTCCAGGGCCCCCAACAACAATAATTTTCTGTCTCCCCCTTGAGGCCCAGTGATTGGCACCCTACGCCAAACACAAAATGAGAGGCCCTTTTTCATCATAATGGTGAAAAAATCTGCAAATAGCGGCCACATTCGTAAATAATAATTTAGGGGCAGACCGCTTTGTGAGGAGTAAGACCAGGTACACAGAGGGCAGTTTAGCAGGCAGGCTGAAGATCAATAAAAAAAAAAATCGAAAGTATGGTCCAGAAAACGTGCTTGACCTGAAACATCCAAACTGAGCAAACAAGTTGTCGTTAGCTGCTGTGGAGCAGATCCCCAACTTCTGCTGCTCCCAGGCACCACGGGCTGGGACTTTTATGATCCATGAGTTTTCTTTAGCTGATTTTCAGAAGTAGATTGCCAGGCCTTTCTTCCTAGTTTGTGTTCAGCTGGAAGCTCCGCTGAAACCTGTTCAGTATCATAGCAACACACAAGCCTCCGCTGACAGATGGCTGCGTATGAACGCTTTGGCCGGGAATGGAACCTGGGTCTCCCGCATGGAAGGTGAGAATTCTACCACTGAACCAGCAAACAGAAAAGACTCGTGGACTGCCCACAGCCAAACACATCCATGCTTAGTGCCTGAGGTGGGCTCTCATCAGTCGGGGGAAGACAACAACTGCTTACTAACGTCCAACCCTGTAAGACAGACATTTCCAGGGCAGGAAGGCTTTCTCTGCTGTAGCCTCAGGTTAACAACGAACTGGAAACTAGTAAAGGTTTTCTTCCAAGTCCATTATTAACTTGTTTTTCTCATGACTGTTTTTAGAGAATCGGTTTAGTAAAGAATGTTGAATATTTTTACCCCCTAAGTGTATAAATATATACGCCTGTAGACTTAAGAATTTCTTTTCTTCATTTTCTTTGTCGCATCTTAATATTGTTGTGGTTGGGTGCTGTTGAGTCGATTCCAACTCCTAGCGACCCCACGTGACAGAGCAGAACTGCCCCATAGGGTTTCCTAGGCTGTGATCTTTATGGGAGCAGATCACCAGGTCTTTCTCCCGAGGAGCCACTGGGTGGGATCAAACTGCTAACCTTTCCGTTACTATACTTTCCCCTGTTTTCCAGTGGCCGGTCCAATTCTCTAGACTCTTCTCTCAGATCTTTAGTTTCTCTCCCTCGCCTCTGAGCAGGGCCAGGTTTAACACAGGCAAAGCTATTTGTACTGGGTGTCCATGTATCTCTAGCTGAGAAATGGACACAGAAAATACTCTTATAAATAAGAGTTGGAAAGAAGAGAAAAAAACATACGGTAAAGACACAGTGCATCCAATTCTTATCAAATGCCGAGAGACAGACACTGAAATCCTAGCAGCTGTGTTTCTTTCATAATTCAGGCATTTTTGAAAAAAGGTACAATGGGTTTATTTCAATGTCAGCTTGGTGTTAAATTTAAAATATAACCAAAGTTTGTCCTCCTGTGTTAAGCTATTTCCCTACAGGGCCATTTCCTATTTAAATACAACCCACACCCCTGATTCCCAGTCGGGGAGGCTAGAAAGGAACCCCCGGAAACCGTAGTGTTGACAGAATGCTCTACAATACGTCCAAGACCAATACACCTGGAAATTAAATTTGGGAGCAACAAGCTAAGCTTTGTTGCATTTCACAAAAGGTCTACGTTTAAAGGAAACAAGAACATCACGTGGGTGACGGTAGAGAGGGTTGCTATGGTGACAAACTCCGTTTGTTATGTTTCAGTCTGCAATCGTGGTCCAGATGAGCTATTAAAACCAAATGATGTCAGTGTTCGCTTCCAACTGATCATGTGGTGGTCTCCGGAATACGCTGTACTTACAATTCAAGAGATGCTCATTTTTCTAAGCAATCTTCTTCTGCCTTTTCTAGAAATTATAATTAAAACACATATAGTGAAGATTAATATTTGATCCTGGGGTTAATTAAGTTTGTACTATCATTTACCTCCCAAAATGACAAAAGAACGTACAGGCAAACCTGGGAAAGCCAGAACCTGTGTAAGGCGGAAACCTGTCAGCCAAGGAAGGCACAACGATTTCCCCGTAAGGGAGAGCGAGAGAAACCTGAGAGGAGGGACCTTGGAGACCCGGAGAGACAAGGCAGCCCCGGCGAGGGCCGGCCTTCAAGGCTCCCCGTGACGATTTCAAGTGTCAATTTAAAGTATTGCTTTCTTGATTTCTTTCTTTCATTTTAAGAATAACAATAAGGTCTCCATAGGGAATGAGGAAAAACAAGCTTAATAAAATGTACTTGGTTTTACTAACTGGACAAGGAAAATGAATCATTTCCCTGACCTGTGCTTCCAGGAAGAGTTAAGAAACAGCTACTCTGCTGAACTGTTAGATCTACAATGGTAACTAAATCTCAGTTTTGCTATTTATTTCTAAACACGCCCCCAGCATCATCCCTGGACACATTTAAATTACATTAATTCACCACGTCTGTCAGCTGCCGGGAACGGGGAACCTCAGCCGCCCTGTCCCACTGGGTGTGCACAGACGGCTGGTGCTCCCGGAGTTTCTATCTTTCCACTTTTCCCAGCCGGTCCTTCTCCATGAAGATTGACAGCCTCTCAGACGAGGTGGTCATGTGTCACTATGAACCAATAATGAGTGCTTTCAAGTCTAGGAAATAGGACTCTAACTTGGATCTGCTACTACCTCACACAGGATGAGACTGAGGGCTGGCTGGACGAGACAGAAGACGTGATGGAGTATAAAGGACCCATCACCTGAGCAGGCCCTTTCACCAGCACACACCTGGACCAAGTGCAGGGAAGACTGAGAGCCGGAACTCGCTGGTACTGCCTTGTTTTTCCGGGTCTCGCAAGTTTTCCGCTTTTGACAGGGTGCAGTCTGACCACTTTTCTCCCGCTGTCTAGGAAGAATCCTTCCTCATCAACACCCAGTGAGTTCTCCTTCTCTGACAGGTTTTCGGCTTTCACAGGTTTTACTGTACAGCCTTTTTAGGGACTAAATGGAAGTAAATAAGCGTATGTCACCCACCCAGCCCCAGACGTTCTGGTCCTGAACTAACATAGGGAGGCTGCCTTTCACTGCTGAGTTTAATGATCACGTTTTTCCGTCATTTTTCTTTTCTTTAGGGGCCAGTTGGGGAAGGCCTTTGCTGGAAGCTGTGTTTTACACACACCTCTATGGATGTTTTCCATTGCAGATAGATCCCCTTCAGTGTCTTCCAGTCAAGGGGGACCACATAGTCCTCAGGCAACAAAGATTCTGTGAAAACAGAAGGGACGGATTTCATCTTTAATACCACACAAGATCTTTTTACCTTAAATGTGAAGATATGTAAACACGACATATGGACCACTGTAATGTTAAAAGCCTGATTTTTTAAAAAATACTTTGTTGTTGAAAATAAACAGCAGAGTATACATCAGCTCAACCATTTCTACATGTACAGTTCAGTGACATTGATTACATTCTTCAAGTTGTAAAACCATTCTCACCCTCCTTCTCCGAGTTGTTCCTCCTCCATTAACATAAACTCACGGCCCCTAAGCTTCCTAGCTAAGCTTTCAACTTGCTGTTGTCACTTTGACCCCATATAGATAGTCCTTAAAAGAGCATAATGCTGAAGGCAGACATTCTTTACTAATGAAGCTAAACTATTGTTTGGTTTTAAGAAGACTTCAGGGGATATTTATGGTTTAAGGATTAAGGTTTAAAGATTGTCTCAGGGCAATATTTTCAGGGGTTCACCCAGCCTCAATGGTGCCAGAAAGCCTGGATTCCATGAGTATTTTAATTCTGTTCTGCATTTTCCCCCGTTTGATCAGGATCCTTCTACAGAATCTGTGATCAAAACATTCAGTAATGGTAGCCAAATTTCGTATTTAACACACTGTCCAGTTCTTCTGGAGTAAAAGCCTGGTTTTAAAGATACTTCAGTAATGGCTAACACAGGACTTAGTTTGTCTCAGTTCTACACTAGGAAACGCTATCCAGACTGCATGAAAATGCTCATTCTGTACGTATGTAGAACTCTACGGATCACAGTGGACATTTTCATGTGAATGCGAATGTATATTCACATCAATGCATGTTTATCTAATTGCTCAGGTCGTCACCCTTTCCTGCGGTGTGCAGACAACATCACAACTATAGCAAGTTTAATTTTCTTGCAAAGTGCTCCTGCCACAAATGAGTGTCTGGTTAAAAAAAAAAAAAATCCTCTTAAACAACGAAGTATTTTTCCTATGCCCACATATTCCTAGCAACGTAAGCAGTATTGTTTCTTAAGGCACACATATGGCCCTGATATGGAACAACACTGTGTCTGCAAAGCGCCTCATAACAGGGTCAATTGAGTTCTCCACCTTGTTTGCCAAGGAGCCCTGGTGGTGCAACGATTAAGCGCTCAGTTGCTAACCAAAATGTTGGCAATTTGAATCCACCCAGTGGCTCCACAGGAGAAAGACCTGGCGATCTGCTCCCATAAAGATTACAGCCCAGAAAACCCTGTGGGGCAGTTCTGCTCTGTCACATGGGGTCGCCATGTGTTGGAATGGACTCAACAGTGCCTGCTAACAACAACACCTTGTTTGCCAGACCACTGGCTTGTCCAGCCTCTGCTAACAAATCGGTCCTCAGCCTCCACTGGGTTTTCCCTCTCTCTTTTAAAGGACGTGCTGTTTCCCAATGTGAAATTCCTTCCCTCTGCTTTTCAGTCAAGTCACTCCTTTCCCTCTTGGATAAATGCTGCTTATAATTTTACTTCCACGTTGAAACCAATCCCAGATAAAACCATAATCCCATATTCTCTTCAGCCATCCCTTTAGCACTGCGAAGCTCACTGCTAAAATACCCATGAGCTCATCGCTTGTATTTCCTATGGACAGTAGTTTTGTCTTGTGTTCGTCTCGTCTTCCCCTTCAGAAGGTAAGCTATTTGATGAATGAGGTCTGTTTCCCTTAAAAGGCCTTCCCAGCCTTCCCGGGTGGGCGCCTGAGCATCACGGTGGATTACGATGATACTGTGCACTCAGAGGAGGACGAGGCTCAGACCCTTTCACACCGCTGCCGTTGAGCTTTTTGGCGCCAGTCTACGGCAGTGATTGTTCATCCTTCTGGGCCGTGGACCCTTCTGAGAAGCCGAGAAAATCTGTACAAAGACGATTTTCTCTCAGGAAAAATGGCACAAAACGACACCAAATTTTTTGCATACAGTATGGACCTTGGACAATTCCTGACCCAAAATGTTTTCAATTAGCTTTTGAAACTCCCCAAAGCAAATGTGTTTTAATATATTTTTTTAAATTGGTATGTAACTTTGGTGCATTTAGGAGAACATAAAAATTGAAGGGAATAGTAGGATATGACTATTTATTCCCAATGTTCACAAATGTGATAAACGCGATGCCAAAACCCAAGAGCAGGGGGATCACTGTGCCCCCTGGCACTCGGTCAGCACCTGGGTCTGAGCTTCGGGGCCCAAGGGATGCCCGAGAGAGCAGGGTAGGGGCCAAGTGGAAACCCAGGGCCTGGGCACCCTGGCTGTTGTGGGAGAGAAAGAACTGCAGGGAGACAAGATACAGGAGAACGGCTTCCCGTGCCTCGGCCTCTCCACTTCCGCCCGAGGAAGGACAGACCTGTCGCCGTGGAGTCAATTCCGACTCATGGTGATCACAGGCGTGTCAGAGTAGGACTATGCTTCATAGGATTTTCAATGGGTGATTTTTCAGAAGCAGATCGCTAGGCCTTTCTTTCGAGGTGCCTCTGGGTAGACTGGAACCTGCAACCTTTCAGGTAGCAGCCAAGGGCATTAACTGTTTGCACCACCAGGGATTCCCAAGGAAGCACACTAGGAGGTTTTGGCAATTGAGCTACAGACACAACAGAACTGGGACACGTGCTCCCTGCTCACTTCAAGGCATCTAGCATCTTAACTACACTTATTACTAAGAAGAAATTTACTTAGAATACAAAAAAATCATATTTTTACTTGCTCTATCCACAAGTAGATTTTTTTTTTTTTAATTTCTGAAAACTACAATTACAAAAAGGAGACCTGGTGGAGCAACCGTTAAGTGCTTGGCTGCTAACTGAAAGGTCGGTAGTTCGAACTCACCCAGCAGCTCCACGGGAAAAAGGCCTGTGATCTGTTCCCCTAAAGATTAGAGCCTAGGAAACCCTATGGGGCAGTCCTACTGTATTACACGGGGTCGCAATGAGTCGGAATCGACTTGACAGCTCCCAACAACAACAATTGTAAGAGCCAGAAGGAATCTTTCAAGTCAACTAGTTGGACAGACTCCTTCCCAGTCTTCTTTTCGGTACCCTTCTCAACAGTCTTTTGTCCTTCAGTTGAACTTTAAAAAATAAGTTAACCTTCTTTCAGAAGGTTTTTTTCATCATTTAATCTTTGCTTCCCCCTCTTTGTAATTCTCGTACCTGTGAGCCATAACTGTAAGTGAGAAAGGAAAGGGCTATGTGCCAAAAGGCGTAAATGTAGAAAGAAGAAAGATTTAAAAAAAAAAAAAAAAAACAGCCCAGGTCTATTTGTTGCATCATCCCTGCTTACCTGCCTCATCCTTCATCTTTCCCAGGGTCTAGTTAGGTTGAGATTCCAAGTATCTATGTACTCAAAGTCATTTAAGAAGATTACTGGTTGGACTACGTGTCCAGTTACCTCCATTAACAACTGCCTCCTTTGCCATGAGACCAGAAGAACTGGATAGTGTCCACCAATACCATTAGTGAACATTTAAATCAAGGAGTCTATACGAGAGTCCTGATCAAAAGGGGGAAAATGAGGAACTGAATTTCAAATTCTCATGGAACCCAGATTTTCTGGAGCCATTGAGTCTGGATGATCTCCCAAAACTTATCTGAGGAAATCTTTAATCCTTGAACCAAAACTATCCTCTGAAGTCATCTCTGAGCCAAATAACTGTTTAGCCTAACTAGAAAAGAATGTCTGCATTAAGTTGTACATTCTTTTAAAGAATTATCTATATGTGATCAAATTGATAACAGCAACTCGAAAGGATAGATGAGAAGCTTACAGGGCACTGAGTTTGTGTTAATAATGGTGAGATAGTTTGGAAAGGGTCAAGAAAGGTAACACAACTTGAAGAACGTAACCTATGACAATGAACTGTACATGTAGAAATTGTTGAGATGGTGTATGTTTTGTTGTGCATATTTTCACCAATAAAGGAAGGAAGAAAGAAAGCGGGGGAGGGAGGGATGAAGGGAGGGAGGAAGGGAGGAAGGAGATTAATGGTGATGATGGGGGGAGGGGCAGTGGGCAGCACCAAAGATAACATTGATTATGAGCCTCCACTTCACAGCTGAAAAGCATCCCGACATCAACAGACCTCGTGAAATCACTAACACTAGAGAGTAACACTTCAAAAATTACTCATGCACGCTAAACTGGACCTTTTTCTTTTTTTTTAAGCAAGTGAAAAACAATTACCCATTGGAACTCCTGGAGATCCAAAAAGCCTGACTAGCTGAGAGGCAAACTCTTGGGATAAGGGTAACCCAGGGGGAGTACAGCTAGTCCTTGTGAAGTCTTGCTTATCTTCAGTTTGTGAGGACTTCAAGGGCCTGGCTTCTTCCTCTCTCTTCAGCTTTTCACCAACACTTTCGTTTAGAAAGCGAAGATCAGAAGGGACTTTAAGAGGTTGGTGACATAAAATTTCTGGAGAAACCAATCCCATGTCATCTCGTTTACTATCTACTCTTGTCTGAGATCCGGAAGTCAAAAATGGTGTCGTGCTCATAAAAGATACCTTCCAAAAGCTAGATGCATACTGTAGCCTAAGAGAAGGGATCAGGCTTTTGTAAAAATACACAGAGCTCCCCAGCCTGATAAATGACAGGAAACGAGGATAGAGTTGTCCACCAATATCTAGAGGGGGGTTTTTCATAATACCACGATAAAAACATAGTGGATGGTGATCAGAGGGCACACGGTTTTCTTTCTTCTCTTTTTCATTATTTATTTCTGAAAGTCTATCTTCTTCTGCTTCCCAAATAAGTTTTAGTCCATGGCTTTCTGTTAACTGGACACCTTTTTCCCTTTCTTTTACATTCTTAGCCTGTCCCTGTAAGTCAAAGTTTGGTGCCAGATTGAAAGCCCTTATCTGTCTCCTTTTACTCTTTGTGGGTACTAAGGCACTCCTTGGGCTATCCGGTCCAGGTAGGTGGCTTCTGAAGATATTTGTTTCTATAAATGAATCTATATTCTCAGTTGAAGATGGCAAGTTTTCATCTTCTATCAATAGCTTCTTCTCTATCAATAGTTCTGGACTGCTTCCTGGCCCTGATGCTCCTTCAGATGTGGAGATCAATGTAACCAGGCCCCCCTCGCCATCGGGACAGGCCTGTCTCCGCCACCTGCCTTTCTTTGGTCTCTGTTCACATATAAACGTATGAGGTCCCTCAGGCCAGCTACCAAACCAGGGTTGCCCAACAGAGCCCAGCTGCAATTCCTCATCAGATAAACTGGTTGAGAAAAAAGCCCAGTTGTTGGTTTGAGGTGTATTTACTCCCCGTTCCTCTATTAAAACCTGACGTGAGGTTTTGGATCTATGTTGACGGCACAGGAGACTTTTATGTCCCGTCTCTCTCTTCTGCATCAATGAGTGCGAGACTTCAGCAAATCTGTCCTGGACGTCCAGCGCCATGGCATGCATATTTTCAGTCTGCTTTTCTACCTTCATACCCGAGCAATCACCTCTGGTTACGCAGGAGAGGTTTCGAGTCACTGCTTGACAAGCAACTGAACTTCCATTTGGAATAGATGACAAACTTAGAAGCAATTTATCACCATCTTCAGGGGGGTAATCCTTTGGTGTATTGTACAACTCAACTACAGACGTAACACTTGGAAAACTTTCCTCGGGATGTATGTTTTTCCAGCTTTCTTCTTTAGAACCATTCACAAAACCTCTCAGTTTATTTCCCAGACCACCAGTGAGGGAACACCTTGGCTCTCTTCTGGTCTCTTCCAAATCTTCCTCCTCACTCGGAGACGGCTCCTGAGCTCCTGGAGCGAGGTACCCTAAGGTATCCCACGCGGCTTTTGCCGTGATTTCACTGTAATTGGTTCGTGTTTTGTTTCTTTTTCTGTTTCTCTTCTGTTTGAGTCTCCTGGGCCCGTGTCCAGTTTCCTTCAAATCGCTTTCTCTACAACACAAAAGAAATACAGAATTTTATAACATTTGCGTAACATTAGCAAACTATAACATCACACTTGTCATATGGAGATTTAAGAACCGTTAGTACGACAGACTCTAAAACATACACATACTTTGGACTATATTTTACAATCACTTTTTAAAAAGATATTTAATGCTGTAAATTAAAAAGGAGCACACTTCGAAGACATTAAAGCCATTTTCATAAACCAAACTTAATGAAAACCTAGCGTTTTCTTGAAAGAAATTTGTCCCCTATTCTATGCTATTCTGTGTTTTTTAACCTCCCAATAAACCTCTTGCATTTCCAACAGCTTGTACCTTGAAAAGTGCCTGGTATAACCTCAGGGTGGCGTAACTGGGGTTGGTACAGTAGTTAGGTTTTCTCTAGACATACATTTGGCGTTGAGTTGATCCATTAAATTATAAACACTGGTTGAACACAACTCCCTGCACTTCAGACCAGCCAGCTCCTTTCTCTCCCTCTCTAGCCCCCTGGGGCTCGGTGACAGCTAGAAGGACTCTGTCCTTCTTTGTCAGCTGCCCGTGCAGCCTTTCTGTCCACCAGCCGCCCAAAGCTGGTTCCTCACAAGTTAGGACTCTGTCCTTATGACTGTCCGTGCAGCCCCCGCTCTGAACTAGCCACCCCGAGCTAAATAAGAATCCTGTTGCCCTTGTGGGGTCATTAATTATAAAGACTCAAAAATCCATGGAGAATATTACCACCTTTTGTCTGTCAGTTTGTTGTACTGTGGTGGCTTGTGTGTGGCTGTGATGCTGGAAGCTATGGCAGACAGGTTTCACTGGGGCTATCAGACTAAGATAGACTGGGAAGAAGGACCCGGCCGTCTACTTCTAAAAAACATTGGCCAGTGAAAATCTTATGAATAGCAGCGCAACACTGATACAGTGCCGGAAGATGAGCCCCACAGGTTGGAAGGCTCTCAAAATATGACTGGGGAAGAGCTGCCTCCTCAAAGTAGAGTCAATCTTAATGACGTGGACAGAGGAGTCAAGCTTTTGGGACCTATATTAGCTGATGTGGAACAACTCAAAATGAGAAGAAACAGCTGAAAATATCCATTAGTAACTGGAACATGGAATGTATGAAGTATGAATGAATCTAGGAAAATTGAAAGTTGTCAAAAATGAAATGGAATGCTTTAAGATCTACATCCTAGACATTAGTGAGCTGAAATGGACTGGCACTGGCCATTTTGAATCAGATAATCATATGATCTACTATGCTGGGAATGACAAATTGAACAGGAACAGTGTCACATTCATTGTCAGGAAGAACATTTTGAGATCAATCCTAAAGTACAATGCTGTCATGGACAGAATAATATCCATACGCCTATAATGGAACCAGTTAATAAGACTATTATTCAAATTTATGCACCAACTAGTAATGCCAAACGTGAAAAAATTGAAGATTTTTAGCAACTTCTGCAGTCTGAAATTGATGAAACATGCAACTAAGATGTATTGATAATTATTGATAATGCACGGGTGATGGGAATGTGAAAGTTGGAAACCAAGAAGAAGCATCAGCAGTTAGAAAGTATGGCCTTGGTGATAGAAACACTGCTGGAGATGGAAAATATGGGCTTGGTGATAGAAACACTGCTGGAGATGGAAAATACGGCCTTGGTGACAGAAACACTGCTGGAGATGGCGTGATGGGAACTTTGCAAGACCAACAACCTATTCACTGGAAATACCTTTTTAACAATGTAAACGACAACTGTACACGCGGAGCTCACTGGACGGAACACACAGGAGTCCAACTGACTGTATCTGTGGAAAGAGACAATGGAGAAGCTCAACACCATCAGTCAGAACATGGCCAGGGGCCAGCTGAGAAACCGACCATCAATTAATTACTCATATGCAAGTTCAAGTTGAAGCTGAAAAAAATTGAAACAAGTCCATGAGAACCAAAGTACGACCTTGAGTAGATCCCACTTGAATTTAGGGACCATCTCAAGAATAGATTTGAACACTAATGACTGAAGACCAGAAGAGCTGTGGAATGACATCAAGGACATCATATGTGAACAAAGCAAGAGGCCATTAAAAATACAGGAAAGAAAGAAAAGAACAAAATGGATGTCAGAAGAGACTCTGAAACTTGCTTTTGAAAGCAGAATAGCTAAAGTGAAAGGAAGAAACGATGAAGTAAAAGAGCTGAACAAAGATTTCAAAGGGCGGCTCGAGAAGACAAAGTAAAGTATTATAATGAAATATGCAAAGACCTGGTGTTAGTAATTGGGATCTCATGCATACACATGACTGGGGCCTTAATGCGGAGTTATGATCCATCCAATCAATGAACATGCATGACTGCAACATGCCCCCTCCATTCCTGAAGTTAGTTTGGCAGGTATGGTACAACCCCTACTTGCCTTGCAATTTTGGAAAACAAAACCAAAAAAAGCCCAAACCCGTTGCTGTCAAGTCAATTCTGACTCATAATGACCCTACAGGACAGAGGAGAACTACCACACAGGATTTCCAACGATGTAATCTTTACGGAAACAGATTGCCACATCTTTCTCCAGCTGGTGGGTTCAAACCACTGACTTTTGTTTAGCAGTCGAGCTCTTAACCACTGCATCACCACAGCACCTTAACTGCCCTGGCTATTCCCAGCAACCAGAGACAAAGGCCAAACACACCGAGTTCTTCGTCCCATACAACCTCTGCCTCGCTAATGGTGGTTCTAACGCAGAGGCTACCCCATCACTTGCTGGGGTGTTTGGAGATGAGTGTGGGCATTTTTGTTGTCACGACAACTAGCAGTATGTAACTGGGACGTGGTGCTGTTGCCAGGGGTACCAACCAGCCCGCAATGCAGGGGACAGTGCCACACAGGGACACTCGTCCCACCCACGGAGGAATGGCGCCCTCACTGAGCATGCTAAAAGCTCACAGACCCCTTTCATTAAAGAGGGCCTTTGATCCTACGAGAAAAGGAGGCTTTAGGACACCCTCATTTTCTGATTTAGGATATAAAGGCCTATTATCCTCTCTTCTTCACCAGGTAGTCAGAGTGAGGGACAAGGTGCCGAAGGAGACGCAGTACAGGGATGTGACGGAGGGACAACAGACATGCAGGGAAAAGCTCAGGACAGAGGAATGAGGGGAAAACAAACATGGAAGACGAAGATGAGCAGGAAAAGAGAACAGTCCATCTTTGACGGGACGTTGGACACACAAGCTGATTAAACCTACCCCCTCCCCGGCTTCCAGTCTGGTTGCTTCCATTTCATGCCATCTCCAACAGGCAGAAGAAGACATGAACGTCTCGTTCTCTTCCACCTAATTGTAGTCCCCTTGTTTAACGTTCCTTGACAGAACACTGGGGAACACGGTGGGGACGGGCTTCTCTAAAAAGGATACTGGGTAAGGAACGCCAATCTCGGCACTAACTTTTCTCCAAGGCCAGTTCTCCCTGCTTCCAGTGAATGCCCAAATTGAAACCAAAGGTGCAACACCAGTTAGGGAATCCATACTGCAGGGCAGCGTGTCGTCATGAAAACAAATTCCACGGTCTTTGCCCAAACACGAATAGCCATACTGCTGCCGGCAAGGAGGAAAAAGAACAGGCAGGTGGTTTCCTGCTCCTTTACTTACGGGAGGAAATGGTGATATACTGATGACTTAAGGAGCCTGGTGGCACGGCGGTTAAGCTCTCGGCTGCTAACCGATAAGTTTGGTGGTTCAAACCCACCCAGTGGCTCCATGGGAGAAAGACCTGCGATCTGCTCCCATGAAGATTACAGCCTAAGAAACCCTGTGGGCAGTTCTACTCTGTCACATGGAGTCACTATGAGTCAGAACCAACCAGACGGCACCCAACGACATGCTGATGACTCAGGACCCACTCAGGATGGGTGACTGTGTGGCTGAATGCAATGATTCTCACAGCCGCTGTCCTTGCGGGCAGTGCTCTACCGCGCGAGGAGGAAACAGAGTCCTGATCTAGGTTCATCACAAAAATGTCGATAACTCCCTCCGCCATCAAGAAGACGAAGGTCAACAATCCTACTTGGAAAACTGGCTTTTTTAAAAAACTTAACCACCATTTACCGAACACTCACTATGTCTCGTTGTTGTTGTTAGGTACCGATGAGTGGATTCCAACTCAAGAAGACCTCATGTGACACCACAGAACTGCCCCCATAGGGCTTCCTAGGCTGTAATCTTTGGGGGATCAGATTTCCAGGTCTTTCTCCCTAGGAGCTGCTGGGTAGGTCTGAACAGCTGACCTTTTGGTTAGCAGCTGAACACTTAACCATTGCACCACCAGGGCTCCTTACTATGGTTTAAAAAAAAACAACCAAATCTGTTGCCGTGGAATCAATTCTGACTCAAAGCGACCCTACAGCACAGAGTAGAACTGCCCCATAGCGTTTCCAAGGAGCAGCTGGTGGATTCAAACTGCCCACCTTTTGGTTAGCAGCTGAGCTCTGAACCACTGCACCACCGGTCTCCATACGATGGTTTAGGACTGTTTAATTGCTTCACATGTACAGGTAGTCCCCTACTTACAACATGTTTGAGTTACAAGGAACCACACTTAACGACCATCTGTTTTTTGTTCTTGTTGTACCTCTTATCAGTAACATGTACTACGTACAATGTTGCAGAATGTAATTTGCTGATGTTACCATTCCTAGATGTTCACTTGCAGATGTTCAAAGATTAGATTTATAAAGATACTGACAAAAGGCAGTATCAATGAAAACTAAATAAAAAAGAGGTATTCGACTTACGTCAGAACCGACTTACGATGGAGTCGTCAGAATGGAACCACGTCGTAAATCAGGGACTACCCGTACTAACTGTCACAAAAACCGCGTCTCACAGAGGCAAGAGAAAGAAGCAAAAGTTGAATACTTTGCCCAGGATCACACGGCTAGTGGCTGGATTCGGACCCAGACCGACTGGTACTAAGAGCCCACACTCTTCTCTGTTGCACAA